TTTTTTTTTAATTTTTTTTTTAATGTTTATTCATTTTAGAGACAGAGAGAGACAGAGCATGAATGGGGAAAGGTCAGAGAGAGAGGGAGACACAGAATCTGAAACAGGCTCCAGGCTCTGAGCTGTCAGCACAGAGCCCGATGCGGGGCTCAAACTCATGGACCGTGAGATCACGACCTGAGCCGAAGTCGGTCGACCAACCGACTGAGCCACCCAGGTGCCCCGGGTCTGACTCTTGATTTCAGCTCCTGTCATGATCCTAGGGTCATGGGATAAAGCCCTCTGTCAGGCTCTGCACTCTGCTTGGAGCCTGCTTGAGATTCTCTCTTTCTCCCTCTGCCCCTCTCCTCCTGCTCCTACTCTGTCTTTATAAAGTTAAAAAAAAAAATTTTTTTTAAAGCATTTGTTAAGTCAATGAGTAAATGAATTCAGGATGAGAAGGATAGTACATAGTCACAGACTGCCTATTTTATTTGTATTTTTTTTAATGTTTATTTTTGAGAGAGAGAGAGACAGACAGAGTTCAAGCAGGGGAGGGGCAGAGAAAGAGGCAGACACAGAATGGAAGCAGGCTCCATGCTCTGAGCTGTCAGCACAGAGCCTGACTCGGGGCTAGAACTCACAGGCTGCAAGATCATTACCTGAGCTGAAATTGGACTCTCCACCGACGGAGCCAGGCAACCGCCCCCCCCCCCCGACTACGTATTTTAAACAAATAATAATAAAAACATGCTTATCAGTGAAACCAGATTTTACGTGCTGTAAAAATGTTTGTTGAGTGCTTACTGTGTACAGGTACTTTCCCAGTCATTGGGATGCAATAGTGGACAAAGCAAACAAAATCTTTGCTTTCGTGGAGCTGATATTCAAGAGTTTTTGTGTGTGTGCACGCATTTCTGTGGGAAACAGAGGACACAAATAAATTAGGTATTACGTGAGTTGGTGATGACTGCTAGGAAGAAAAATAAAGCAGGAATGGGGATCAGGAATGTGAAGGGGTGTGGAGTGAGGGCAGAATGCCACTTTCATTAGGGTCATTTGAGAAAGTCTTCAAGAAGGTGACATTTGAACAAAGAACAGAAAGAAGTGAGAGAGCGAGCCACGCAAGCACCTGAGGAAAACATCTGCCGAACCTCTTTCTGTGATGATTTAGAAGACACATCTGAATCTTCCTTGCAGGCTATCAGAGTTATAATGGTGAACATGAATCAACACTATTTGGTGCAATGGGGGAAAAGACGCAGTCTTTTATTTGTTTGGATTCCAGATCATCAGAAGTTATGTCAACGGTCATGCTGGCTCGGTATGTAATAAAAAAAAAAAAAATACTGATTTGATTATTTCAATGCCTTAATGTTTTTGGCAGCTAGTTCATTTTTAGCTCATATTTACAAGGACAGCATTGAAAAGCCTCCAGGGGGCATTTCCTAGCCTCTGTGTGGCATATGGTCCCCACAGTGGGAGAGGGTCAGCTTGCAGAAGAGGGGAGGGAAGGAGGCCAAGGAAGTCAGGGGACTTAGGGAGCCTGTGTGGCTCCAAGGGGAATGGGGGTGGGGGTAGGGGTGGAGGTGGGAGAGCTGGTTACAGGACAGTCGACTAGAAGGCACTAGAGAGGGGCATAGGGGCTGGGATGAAAGAGAAGGCCCTGGAAGGAAGCTCAGGAACCACAAAATCCTCCTCACTGCCGCCTCTTCCACCTTGGTTGTTGTTAATCCTTATAATCACCAGGATCTCTTTACATGTTTACGTGCTGTAGTGAAAAAGTGAGTTCA